AATCCGTTCAGCTTGCCCCATCGCCCTTGCCTCCTCGCCCTGGCGGATGCCCTCCTCCTGCCCTCTGCTGGGTCTCTTTCTCCACCCTGTCCTCCTCCTCTTCATCCTCCTTCTATATATATATATATATATATATATCCTCTTGCTCCTCCTTTTCTCTCTTTTCCTCCTCATCCTTCTTCTCCTCCTCATCCTCCTCCTTCTCCCTCTACCCCTCCTCCCCTCATCCTTCCCTGTCTCGTTTTCCTGCTCCTGCCTCCTCTCCTCATGCACATCCCCTTCCATCTGGCCTGGCCACATGTGTCGATTCTCCCTGACGCCGTCGCCGCCTCAGCCAGCACCGGCGGGTCCTCCAATGGACAGATCGCGAAGCTTATCGCTTCACTGCGAGCTCATGAGCCGCTCGGATTCGAACATGGAGGTAGGGGCCTCAAATGGAATGGCTCCCGCTCAAGATTTCCTCGCGATGCGCTCACTGACGAGGCTCCCGCTCGAGACTACCTCCAGGTTCAGGGCGGAGGAACCCAAAAGTAACGACAGCTACAGAGTTTGGAAGACCCGCTCGGACTGTTAACGAGAGGCGCGGGCCCCAGAAGGAAGGAGCTCCCGCTCGAGATTTCCATTCGATTCTCTCACAGTCGAGGCTCCCACGCGAGACTTCCTCTATATTCAAGCCTGAGGACCCACAAGTGACAACAGTTCCAGGGTATGGATGGTTCGTTCGAATTAGTGACATGAAATGCGTGCCCCATAGGGAGGGACTCCCGTTCTAGAGTGCTTCAATATACAAGCTTGACGAACCCAAACGTGACAACGGTCACAAGGTTTGGATGCCCCGTTCAGATTAGTAACGCGAAGTGCGGGCCCCATTGGGCGGGCTCCCGTTTGAGACTTCCACGCGTTCACTCACAGACGAGGCTCCCTCGCGAGACTTCCTCAAGATTCAGGCCTGACGGGGGCCCACTGTGACGTCAGTTGCAGGGTGTGGATGGCCCGCCGGGATTCGTACCGAGAGGTGTGGGCTCCGCAGGGACGAGCCCCTGGTCAAGACTTCCTCAAGATTCAGGTTTGAGGGCCCCAGCAGTGACGACGGTTACTGTACGCACAAGGTTTGGATGGCCTGCCAGAATTAGTAACATGAGGTGCGGGCCCCACAGAGAGTCCCGCTCGGCATTCCCTCGCGATTTTACTCACAGACGATGCTCCCGCTCGAGACCGCGACCCATGAATATTATGACCGATGGTCATGACGGGATGATGATGGTGATGTTGACCATGGATGTATGATGATGACGGTGATGGAGAGTGTAAAAAATTGTGGTGGTAAGGTGGTTTTGTAATCAAGATGGGAAGGTGATAAGGGGTATGACGATGATGGTGTAGTGGCGATGATGAGTGTAAAAGGAGTAAAAACGAGAGGGTGATTTGTT